TCTTCATTGCCCAGCAACATATTACAATTCATTTCAAAGTATTGTTGAAGATCAATGTTGTATTGTCTGACTCAATTGATTTATGACTAAGTACGCAGTCGGAACCCGACAGTTCAAAATTGGGTCCATTCCATGGTAGGCATCATTTACGAGGACTGGAGACACTGCCAAGAGTGTCACACATCGTAACACACTGCCTTTAGTTGGAAATTTGACTAAGGAGATGGCACATGTTCCTCTGACTTCTGAATGCTAGCAGATCTTTAGATGGGCTTTCATACGCACGTATGCATGGGACACATAAGTGACTATACATACTACAGCCTTGTTATTGCATAAATATTGAAACAACTTTTTTTAATGGAACGTTACACATTTATTTTGCCCATGATAACTTGCTGGAAGTGACAAGTTCATAAGCATGCTTTATTACGTGACTATGTTTTTGAGAATTATAGAGTTTTTAAGACGAGAACACGATATGATTCACGCATCCGCCGCGTGAATCCGAGATGACACGTTCTTAGGCCATTCTGTTCCTTGAGTTCTTTCTGTTCCTTCCTGATACTTAGGTATTATTCTATTAACATACATTCTACAGTGTGCATTAGTATTTCTGTGTTTATTCATGCTAATTATATATGTTCGTTCATTTACATCTGTGTTGTGCCCCTGAAAATGGGATAAATTAGTCCCGAAACACGAGTACGGCTGCGTATTCTTTATATTAAAATTTACATTGTAGTATACTTTGTGGCTGATACCTCCTCAATCCTGAATTAATAATCATGGATTACATTATCTCTGCCGCCACTAGAGAATTCACTCTTCCGTTGCGTTGGCCCAGCAATGGAAAAGCCAGCTACGCATAGACGATTTGTGTGAGGAGCGCGTCCGACGGGGGAGGCCGCGGCGCGGGCGACACGCTTCCAAACTACTCCAAAAGCCAAGATCGACATTAATACATTAAAAAAACAATGAATCCAGTCATATTTATAAACATTTATTTATAGACGTTTCGATCTCCAAATGTGGGATCTTCTGTATGTAACATATCTGTAACTATTTAAGGTTAACACCTCACCTACAACTTTGTCTAGATGAGAATGAAAAATTCCACATAACACGATAAGTATTAACCCACAAGAGTAAAATACCTTTTGAGATTGGTATGTACATTGTTCTAGCGGGGGAAAACCCAAAGGAAGCACCATTATATATGCCTGTAAGGGTGTGTAAGTCAGGACGAGGATAGGATAAGGGAGTGCGGTCCGCGTCTCGTTTGTTAGAGTACTGGTCCGGCATTCGCCTAGTATTGATTGGAGAAACCACAGAAATCTACCGATGAGAGTAGCCGGCCACTACAATTCACCTTTGAACAGTGACTAAATTCGATCTAGGAACCTAGCTAGTCCTGAAAATCCTGCCACCGTCGGGATTCGAACCTAGGCCATCCCGGTTAGCGGCACTGCAGTGACATCACTTGCTGCCCTGATCCACCTCTCCCGGTCTCGTGTTCTCTCGTCTTCCCCTGTTAACATATCTGTACTAACAGCGCTCTTTTGTGTTCCCTCCGTTGTGCATCCTTCCTTTTGTGCCCGCTCTCCCCCGTTTCCCCACGCTCCCGCGTTCTCCCCGCGTACCCCGTCCTCCCCGCGCGCACCCAGCCTCGCGCCGCCCCGCTAGTGCGTTGACTGCCAAGAAATAATACGGCTCGAATACACCACGCGCACGACTCGCAACCATTGAGAGCTTGACAATAATTTATTAACACAATGAATAACATGATGAGGTTAGCGTGGAACGTTGAAATGAAATTATTCAACGAATTAACAGGTGAGCGCTGGACTGATTCGAGATGTGGTTACCACAAATCGATTGTGATGTAGCGGAGGCTCGTCCGGGGTAGCCGCGCGCGGGGCGGCGGGAAGGTGGTGCGGCATGCAGGGACGGCTTGAGGGGCGGGCGTGAAGGTGGTGAGATGGGACTGGGTAGTGCGAGCGAGGACCGGTCGGAGTGAGGCTGGCGGATTCGGGCGGCGGAGAGTGGACGTGCCGTTACAGGGTCGTCGGGGTGGCGAGCGTGAGGAGAGAGGGCGTGAGGTGAGTGGGGGCGTGGAGAGGGCATGATGGGGCGGCGTCGCCGCGCGCAGCGCAGCTAACCGTCGAGCGCAAACTGACTGCAGGCCTGGCTGCGAGCAGAGGCAGAAGTGCACAGCCGTTGCGGGACTTGACATTCTGAGCTCTCCCTGTTGGGCAGAGACCCTGATTTGTGGGACTGCACATTTCGACGTCAGATCATACTGTATACAAACAACTCCACAAATCATCTGGGAGAAAACGTCAAACGAAGGAATAATTATTTCGTTATAATCAATTTAGATTAACATTTTTTCTCGTAATGGCGTTGATTAATAACACTATGATATGGTAATATCTCTGTACTATGCTGTTTTAGGTTTGTATATTTCTCCCTTCATGCGTAAACATTTCCCAAATGCATCATTCTTGAATTCACACTTCTGCCATTTGCTCGTGGAATACTCTACTGTACAATATGGTGCTGTTGCTGCAGGAAAGTGGGCCAACTGCAATTCAGGAGAGTGCATTAAGTAAAAATTTATATTTTTAGTTGAGCCACTAGTGGAGCCCACGATCGACATGGTAATGTTATAAAATAAAAAAGCTCCGATCCGATTAAAATCGTTTTACTACAAAATAACATTTTTAGAGTTGCCACTTTTTTGTCCATTTACAATACGTCTTCAGCCACAAAAAATATTAGCATTAAATTCCTCAAATATTGATTACTTTGTAAAAGCTGATCCTGGTTACTTGATAATGCAGGTGAGATTTAAAGAAATTGGCTATAATATAATCACTGTTAATTTTTTATTAAGAAACTCATATAGCACTAACTTATTATCATGACATTTTACAAATCAGAAAATGTATTTAAAGACTTTCTTGTGATACTCTGCACATCTTCATCTTCCGAAATAACCGTGGTTGATAGATCTTCAATAGCTTTCACAATTGTACCACATCCATCCATTTAAATAAAACTTCGTTGATATGTTCAATTCGTACATAACCTCAAAACCTTCACCCGCGCATTCGGGTGCACTGCGGAAGTTGAATGGATGGACACGCGTGGTGTAGCACTGATGAGTCTTGACGGTGAAATGGAACACGATAGTTGCCGTGCCTACCGAGTGCGCACAAATTCAGTGACGAACAACGCACTAAGAGACCTGGCACATCACTTTCGTCCTTAGGACAGTTATTTATGTCCTCGAGGGCACACAAGGCCTTTTCAAATTCTTCTACGTTCTTCCATGACCCTCCAAGAGACATTATTGCCCACTTTATGAAACACATGGTACAAAGAATAACCGTTCAGGCGATAGGATAGGAAGTACTCAGCTACGAACCGTCTCGTTACGAAGCCGATCGCGGAAGAAACGGGTGGATAATTGTAGCTGCTTCATCATGAAACCTCGTGCTGCAACGCTATCAAATGTTGACTCGCTCGCCACCAACACATGTAGCGACCGAGTCGATGAATGTTTACATACACGAATGCTGGCTCGAGCTTCCCGGCCGCATGAGCATATTGGCATGCTCCGTCAGACTCCGAAGCAGATACGCTGCACGATCTGGGACCGCTGCCCATTCCGAGAGATTGGCTCAGATTGGCAAGGTCAAGTAGTTCGGTGATTTCCTTGCATACACGCGCTACCGCGAGGGGCTAACGAAATAAACTTGGGGTATATCGTGAGGCCGTTTGAGAATTCCAGCATAATATAAAGGGTGAACTATACTTCATACTACCATATTGTTGCTAATAGGATGGTTGTAGCAGTCAATAACAGTGGAATTATAACTAGAATGTGGAAACTACAGGGTAGTAGACATGATTAATACACATCAACACCTCCAGGCGAATACATCAAAGCATGCATGGCCGAATGTTCAAGTAAATAATTTATATTCGATTATTCTCTAATTGTTAGTAATAACAAATTTATTAAAAATATACAGATTATTATATTAATACGAGGACTCCATGGGATTTACTGTCTATCTGTACTTGGCGCGGCAGCCCGCAAACGTGCCAGGGCCTACCAGCAGCGTCCCGGCTTCGCGGCCATGGGTTAAGTGGGTACATGTGGTTTACACGAGGGCTTTTCCACGCGGTATTCCGGTCTTCTCAGCCTGAGAACTATGAAAGTGAGCACGCCGACCAATGAGCTAAACAGCGAGGGCATGGGTTTTAATACTTGGTAAAAAAAATCGTCCAAGGGGACATTTTTAGATAAGGTGAATGATTCATTGGAATAATGAAAATGACACTAAACCATTGAAAATAAGGATGTTGAAGTATACAGTGCATATAACAGTTCGTGGAGTAAAGTTGATTTGGGAAGCACTGAAGGAATTATGTCAAAGTGTATCACTTGAGGCTACGCATGATGCAACCCATATTTAGAACATTAATAAAGCGCACATGTTTAACGGCATGAAGTAATGCCGTTTTTATCGGCAGTTACACAATATAAAGAGAAATAAAAATAAAACATTCAGCACGTTTTAGTCCACATTCATTTACGCCTTTTTAATAGTAATTATATTTTAGATATCTGAATTGATTCAACATAGTGAAATTAACACAACACGATCACTCAGAAAAATACGGAAACAACTACAACCCAACCGAGCCTGATGGTTCATGGAATCAATGGTTTGATTGATTTTTTTAACCAATTCATTTTACTGAAATCCAGAACACCAAAAATCATAATTTAAAATAGAGCTCTTACCTGGGAAACTCACGGTCTACACTGAACATATACACATGTGTATAACAGTGAACCTCTAGATACTAACATATTTGGTTCACTATACCCGATAATTCGAAAATAGAATACTTTTTCAACTGTGAACAATTTTATTATTTCCAAGGTATAGTAAAAAACCCATCCCGGTGAATTCAAAATTTCAGTATGTTCGTGTTTTCTTCGCATTTGATTTTATATTGTCCACAAAAACTACATATCTAATTGCAAACTTAACACATTTCAATGTCTCTTGCACCGTTGGGAGCACTGGCATCATTTCTGAATCCTTTTCATCACACTCGCGTTCTTCTTTTGGAAAACACTTCACCGCATTCACGATGCCCAGGCGGATTTCAATAGTTTTTAATTTCCCGTCCTCGTCGATAAACTGTTCAGATGGACAGAATTGTCCACGATAAGGTAAAGCAATGGCACAGTTCCCTCAATCCCTACCGACTGTCGATGTCACAAAAACAACTCACGTGACCATCTATGTGCAAACCCTCGGAATTTGTATGAATTCGCGATCCTGAGGCCTATTTTTTTTCCTGAAACTTGTGTTTATTTTGTTCACTATGACAGATGTTGAGAGTTCAATATTCCCGGATCTTCCAGTGTATATTTGTTATGTTTGTAAATCGGGGTCAATAACTTCAGTTCTCTATAGCCAAAATTTCATTTTGTCGAGTTCATTATATCCAAAGCCAACTGTGCTATTCCCTCGCCCCCCTACACGCCACACGCAGATTTTCGTGTTTTTATTTTTGGCGATAAATCAATCAAATTAAATCACTTTTAACAGACAACGCCTGATTGACTTAATCATATTCCCCATTCCCGCAGTAAAATATGCAACATGTTGAAAATGTAAAGTTCAACATGTTAAGCAGTGGAGATGCGACAATTATACGTTAAACAAGTGTATATTTAAATGCGGATATTTCATTATACTTATTCCTACTATTCATATATTCTTATATATTGTTCCTATTCATTTATATTATTATATACATTGAACATTTATACTTTTAACATGACACTGCTAAATGTTAAGAAGCGAAGACGCTTCTTTCGGGAGGCTCCGCAACACCATCTGAACCCGCGCGCTGGCCTCCGCGTGGCCCGGTAGCGAGCGGCAATTCATGGCGAGCGCGTGCGGCGCTGCGCGCCTCGCCGGGTCCCGCCGGCGTCGCGTCGGCCGCTCGTAGTAATTACGCGCGTACGCGGCCGATAAGCGACGGGGAGTATCTGAGGTCGAAGGTGACGGAAGGCAGCGGAGGCGGCCAGTGAGCCGGGAGCGAGATGGGCTTCGCACTGCTCGAGAGAAGCGTGGCCTCCGCCGCCGCCGCCGCCGCCGCCGCACACCACGCAACTCGGACCGCGAGCTGCAAGGTTTTTCGCCAGAGGGGATGCTCAAAATCCCAGGAAGGGATCAATCCGCGAAATAACCAGTGAAACGAAAGCCGTCTTTGCTTCGCTTGTCTGAAGAAATCCTTGTTGTTGAGAAAGTTTCCTTTTCCAATTTGAATTCGATTTGGATGCCTTGATTTGAACATTTCAAAGCGACGAAATCGTAAATGAGGCTTGTCGATGCGAAATGTGTTTCTGGAAAGGAAAATTTACTACTAGCAGGGTGGGACCAATTACTTTTAGCACTTGTACACGCAAACACCATTGAACACTAGTGGGTCAATCGTCCTCCCTTCACTTTGCAACCTTTCGGGAAGACAATTTGAGATGATGGTTGCAGACTCGTAGGTGGCTCGGGCACGTGTAATAAAAGGAAAGGTCGGGAATTTGGGATGAATGCGGTAGGCTCCAAGACTGCTAATGATCGATTTATAAAAGATGGGGTGCGGAGAAATATGGCTAAACGACGGCAATATTAATCCTCCAACAATACCTCTCTTAATCGTCGTACATAATCGCTTAATCATCATCTCATACTTGGAGAACGTCTCAAGTTATGGAAAAATATTACTGAGTCTTGTTGCAGAGTTGCCAGGAGGCAAATAAGGCAGTCAGAATATTCTGGCAATACAGATGTCTACAAGTGAAACTAAAAAAAAATTATCAGATTATAAAGTGTAACAATTAATTAATCCCGAGGCGGCCAGGTATTACAAAAAACAAACAAACAAACCATTAAAGATTACCAATGAACGCGGTTCTGTGATGCACAACGCGGGACCCTGTAGGTGAAGCAGGTGCGCACAAAGGACAGCATTAATATTTTTAGAAGACAAAGGTTTGACTAAACGATGAGGGTCTCTAATAATATTGAAATACTGATTATGCAAAATGTGCAAACGAAATCAATATGTCAATAATTTACAGGCCAAAGATTTGCAATTTCAGAAGTGAAGACGCTATTTGCACATGTATCGTCCAAATACTATTCAACATATTTTGGATATTGCTTTAGGTAAGAACAAAAACTTATCAATGCAACAAAGCGTATTACCAGAGTTCTGATGATTGCGAGCAGTGATATCTTTTTCGATGCCATTGACAAAGCAATTAACGTAAATGAATGAAATAATAACACAACCTGGAATAAATATAGTAATAAGAATATTTTCAAATAATATTGCAGAAATCGACTTTAACCTAAGGTACCTTTGGTCTACAGTAAATCTCACTGACCAAAAATTGAACAATCCGTTTTTAAAGTATGATTATATCGATTCTGACGAAGACGACAAGGAATGTTTGCTGTACATTTACAAACTATCATTTAGATTTAGATTTATTTAGTCAAAAATCTGTAATAACTGTATATGACGTATGGGGAGAAGATCACCTGCGCACGTTTTCTTGAGTTCCAGAATCCCTTCCGTCAGTTTAGCTATAAATAGTTGAAGGATGAGTAAAGGTTTAGCATAAATAAAAATAAATTTTAAAAATCGCAAGATTAGCAATATTTTAAAAAATAGACATTTTCGTTTCCGAGTTACAGAAAACATTTGCATCGGTAAACGTATTGCAAGTATAATTTTTCTGCATTGCTAACAAAATAATAACTCGTTCTTACTTCCACTCTTACCATTACAAGCAAAAGGAGAGTTCAACAAAACGTGCGCATAGTGAAGCTTCATTTACGTCCAAGAGCAAAACAAGGGGCCATCTCAACATTTGCTCAATTGATCAGGGATACTGGATAAAAGCCTGATCGATAAACTTCGATCATGAAACTTCGCGTTACCTCCGATATACATTTAATACGAGGAAAGAGAATCCTAAGTACTAATATGAGTATTCCCATCAAATTAATGTCTCCTTCTGAAATTGTTTTAGGTATTAAAATTCATGACTTCTTTGCAAATTCGTAGTAAACCGTCTACTGCAGTTTCACAAGCGATATTAAATGCCTCCTTCGGACGCAACTCTTTTCCTACTGCCTTCCTCTTTTCCTAAAATAATCATTTTATCCGCTTGTAAACAAGGAAAACTATCAAGGTTCGTTCGAAACTAGACCTAATAGTCTTCTTTCAATTAGGTTGACAGAAAGTCCCAGGATGGGACTCTGCAGCAACCAGCACAAAGAGAAGATGCCCCCCCCCCCCAAAAAAAATGGAAAGATAATATAACAAATGATCTTAGGTCAACGAAGATAAGAAACTGGGTAGCGAAAGTGAACATCAGAAACGAATGGAAGGTTGTAGTTGAACTAACTGGCAAGACTAATAGTAAATGCAGTGGTGTAGTTGGGCCAAGAAGAAAAAGAAAGAAAAAGAAAGAAAAAGAAAGAAAAAGAAAGAAAAAGAAAGAAAAAGAAAGAAAAAGAAAGAAAAAAGAATTAATGAACGAATGAAATAAAAGTTCTCTTCCCACTCTAAGTAAAATATTGGCACGCTTAATGCTTTGGGTCAGGGATGTCAAGGTCGCGGGCAAGGTAACATGCTTACTAGATTTCGCGGGCAGTGCTTCCCGAGAAATAGGCGGGAGACTTAAAAGTGAGGGTTTACAATACGGAATGGCGGTATGTCATAGAATATCTGGCCCATAACGTCTTTGGGAGACGTAACTTGACAGTTATTGTCACAAATTTAGGTACATTATTTACTATTTTTTCTTTAAGACAAATAAATGATCCATTAAATTGAAATAATACATCAGTCTCATTTCAAACTCTCAATTGAAACTAAAAATAAAAACTTAATATAAAAGTATCTTTATTTAGTAACCATGATTACTGAAGAGTGATATAAAAGCAAACACTTTCTACGTTCAGGATATAGGAGGTTTAACAGTAAAATATTCTTCAAAATCTCATTCAATTATTCTGCTAAAAGCCCTGTCAGTCCATACGCGAGAAATTTTAAACTTGTAGAGACTTCTTAATTTATTTCACATTATTGTTAAATACAATAAATAACTGAATGTTTTAATAACACAACACAAAAGCAAGGAAAAAAAGGAAAGAATTCGCCATTGAAACATATTCTGGGCACTCAGCAAAGATGTTTATAAAAGGGAGAATTTAGTAAGAAAATCACCATCAAATAGAAATAAGCAGTGAAGAATTTAAACTTAATACAATTCTCGGTTATTTGACAGACAAAAATTGACAATAATTTTACGTATGAAAATACGTATATATTTTACGTATTTTACTATTCACCGCCTCACGCCGCTCCAGCATGCGCATTACACACCTCTATAGAATTTAAGGGCAAATGAGCGCGGGGGCAGAGGAAATTTCCCCTGCACGCACGAAGGAAGGGCTCCCCAGGCGGGCAAGTGCTCGTGCGGGCGTGGTTTGACGACATTAGGTTATCTAAATTCATACACAACATTAAAGCAATCACGTCCAAACTAGTCGGATTCAAACCAAACCATTCTATCTCCCGTCAATTAGAACGTCATACTGAAGCAATCCTTAAAGGTTTTTCACAAAAGAAAAACACAGCGATAATCTTAACACAGCGATAGACGTAAGTTAGGCATACGACCGAGTATGACGCCAAGGTCTTCTGTTCATAGTATAGGTTAACTAGAATACCTAATAAAGGTTACAGAATGTTCACTTTCGAACTGATCGTTTACTGTTAAAATCAATACAATCCCCCTTTATCCCTCATACTATTGCCACAGGAGTACCTTAGGGACAAGTTCTCTGCTCCCTTTTCTTTAATATTTTCAGCCATGGCATTCCGATCTAAGACCCTTCCAATATTCTACTAAATATCATGCATAGATACTCATTGTAAGTGGACAAAAAATATTCCTGAATTTATCATTGAAGGAAATGTATCTCTCTTTGCCCCTTTCACCGATGAATTAGGAGAATGCTTTTTGATTAAAGGCTAACTTGTGTACCTCATATCTACACGGTAACTAATAGAAATGAGATGAAAACGTAAAAACTATTATTTTTAATGAACTCTCGGTCAACCTCTAATTGCCCAATACTGCTCTACAAAATTCTCTATTCAATTTACAGTACCTTATGCATGCACAGTTTGAGATGACGTAGCATCTTCTGTAGATCTGTAACCTTCAAAAGTTATTAGTATTCCACAACAAGTTTCTGAGAAAGACCTCAAAGCAATGTGGGTAATACCAAACTCAAATGTCCATTGTTGATTTAATATTCTGTCTCTAAATGAACACATTAGTACGAGCAAAACAGCACACCGCTTCTGCCAAAATCATTCTCTCCTGTTTCACAATTTTGATTATAATGGGAGTTCAATACAGCCATTAAAAAATCACATTTCTCGAACGCAAACTTAGTCCGCTTTAATATACATCTTTACATTGCGAACGTCTGCCAAAATTACTAGTACTCCACTGTTAGACATAACCTTCAACGCCCGAACTAATTTCCCATTCTTAGATCAGGTTGATTTTTAGATCAAGTAGGAAATACAATACTCATTACCTATGCATGTCGAGGAGAAATACAATACTTATTCCCTATTGAACGAGCAGAAACAATGTTTTAAAACACATTTCTCAAACACACACAAAGCTCAGTCGAATAAACAATATTATCAGAGTCATGTGTCGCACAGATATCAGTCTCATTTTACTCTCTAAGTCAGAAGCGCGTTGGGTGGCATGTTGATGTTCATCAGTACAACCGTTGCTGGTTTAAAATTGCTGGTAGGTCCTATTCATTCCTTAAAACTTTCAAAGAATTTTATTATCCCCATGCGTTGTAAGTTGCATTATTAGATGTGACTGAGGCACCTGAATATCTGTATTAATTCTCCACAACTACATAAAAATTGTTGTTCGATTAGTTCGTATATGACTTGTAATTGTATAAAAATGGTTTTTAATTTATATGTATCTCTGGCGGCAAACAGTTTCATTACCAATTAAAAGAAGATTAAATTAACTCATATTTCACCATTGTAATTGGTATCAGTGACATTTGCTTAGGTATATATTTAAAGCTTTTAAATTCGATTTTTTTATTTAAAAAATTAACACTGGGAAAGAAACGTTCCGATTTAAAGATTACCTCAATGCTTTTGATTCACATTGGAATAAAAAATATCAATTTCAAAACAAATATCCATCTCAAGATCATCTCAGATCTTGACACAATCACTAAAAAAATACGTTTACATTATATACAATATAAATGCACAAAAAAGTATGATAGATATCTATTTTTAGTGATGTAGGTCAAGCTTTGAGATGCGATGAGGATTGTAAATTCGCAGACAAAGTGTTATATACCTATGCAAGTGCAACTGTTACTTATAAAATGATGGTATGATGAGTTAATTTAATGTATTTTACTAATTCCTAATACTTTATCGCATTTAAGTCTTGTGCCTTTTTTTCTGCTGTTTATTGACTTGCTGAAATCGAGAATAAAAGCTTTCAATTATCATATCTCATGGTTTCCAAAATTATAATTTGTAATTTTTTTTCCATTTGTATTAAACATTTTTAATAAAATTCCGTAAAGATAACTATTATAATAAGTACTTTGCAGCAACCTACACGCTGTGAAAATCTAAATAATAGCATGTTGCAGATGCAAATATTTAATAGTACTATTATGCAATGTTCCAGAAAGTAAATTCTTAATTTCATTTTGAAAATATGAGTAAGGTCAGTGACAGTGATTTTATTTTCTGTATCTCAACACATAACAAAAAATGAATACAGTAAGAACATTTTCCACGAACCGCTTATCGACAGCTTCAGCCAAACGACAAAATTGATTAATTGCTATCACCGTAAGCAAAGAAGTATCACCACTTTACAACGATGAAATTCAAGTTTCCTCACGTACGCAACCCCAAAGGCACTTTTCCAAAGTCACGAGAGCCATCGAAACCATAAGCAGTCTACTTAACCAGGGGTTCATTCGCGTTGACGCGAGATAAAAAACGAATCACAATGTTGCGCCTAGATAACAGCATCTTTTGAGTGGCAGCTTTATCGAAGACTGAGCTCGCCACACATGCTCCAGCAGTTACAAGGTTTAAGAACGGTTCTTAAAATTTATGCCCCTCTTAATAAAATCCTTGATGCGCCACTTTACGGGACTACTGAAGCACGAAAACGGATATGCTTCTTTCATATCGTCCTCTCTACTGCGTTCTTATCAACGAAACTGCCAGAGGACTCGTGACAACAGACGCAAAACAGCGGAGCAAATTCTCCCATTATCGCACGTCCCTCTGCAACAGGGCGACTCCAGTGGCTGGCGGCAGAAACTGTACTACGCGGAAGCAGAAGTGTTTCCGGTTCGAACACCACGAACGACATGAACGTTACAATGCGTTCTGGAGATGTGGAAAACAATAACAAGCACACATCATATCACGTCTTCATCAAATCATATTGGTCCCACAATGCGAGCGAAACTCGCCGGAAGGATGTTGAAGGAAAAACGCAAGTTAAATAAAAGCGTTAGCACAGACCTGCAGTCGCGCAATCACAGCTGCGTATGCTCGCTAATGCACTTGACAAAAGAGCAAACATCGCCGTCCTCGGGAGAGAAGTGGAGGAGAACACGATGTATGACACACAGAACCTGCTAAGTGAAATTGTTTGAACGAGTTAAATGGATGTTGCAATAATGCACGGGACTCATTGCAACATCTCACGGGAAAGGGATGTAATATGCCGTAATTGTAATAGTGTAGGTAGTTTTTCTTTCATTCACATATTTCACATGTAAGATAATAAATTGTTTACTTTCATATCTGAACTGAGCACACGCACTCTTAATAATTATGTAGCTCGCGATAAAACTAATGAAATGACAGTTTGTCAAGTATCGAATTGTCAACATGACACTTTCGTTGGAACCTCTCGACTTCCGCTCGCAGAAAGTCCCTCAGAGAAACGCCATGACATCCAACACAAGCAACATAGGCAAATCGCAATCCGACAACCGTCTCAAACCACCACATGAAGCCGCGTACAACAAACCGGGCGTTTCGCGCGCAAACATAACCTACCAGATCTCGCAGCGACAACCACACGTCGTAACATTCCAGTCGGTGGGTCTTCATTGCCGGTAGCACACCGTGCTAAACGGAATAACAAAGCACTTGAATCCATTAGCACCGTCCACCACACCGCGCCGGCCCATTCAAGACGACGCGACGGTTAGGCCGGCGACCAAATTGGTGCTACGGCGGCATCACTTCAGCGGCACCGCCTCCTGCCCGACCAAGGCCACGCTCAGTCACAGTTCAGCGCAGAGCTGAGAACGCTTCCCCCACACCTCCCCTCACTCCGCGCGCCGTGCACCGCCCTGGCCCGGCCGCCGCCGCCGCCGCCGCCGCCGCCGCCGCTCGACCCTAGCGCCCGCCACGCGGGGCTACGCGGCATTCAATTGCCCTCGGGGATCGACACCGGGGAGGAGTAATGCAATAATGTCGATCCTGTCGCTCATTGTCGCAATACGCAGGAGATCTCGAATGATGTAGCAATAATGAGGGAGAAGAACGAGGCTCGCCACCAGTGGCGGATCCAGTCGATTATGCAGATCAAAGATCTTTGTTATGTAATAAACATACTTGTTATTATATAGTGTATTTTTGTAATGTATATATTATTCTAGATAATGTCGTTTTTTAAAATAATTAGATAATCCTGACATAAACAAATATTTAAATTAATTTTGCGAAATGAAGGAAAGTAACAAACGAAAACTCTAGGCCACTCTGGATCTGCCAGTGCTCACCGCAGCAGTTCATGTAGTCAGAAGGAATGTCCGTGCCCTGCGAAAAATAGGCTGCCGGGTATTATGCTACCTACCCTGAACTCTCATTAACAATATTTACTCATACTAGACTATTTCTTTTGAATCTTAAAAATAGTATTTTCTCAGTTAGTTCTTAATATTTCGAATTCTACGTATAAAAACGCCTGTGTTGCGTCGCAAATGTTTAAAAAAATGCAATACTTTAATAAAAAACAAAAAAAAATCTGTGCTTCCACTCTCCTTACAGAACACGTTCGAAACATATGTCAAAGAAGACATGCATGCATAATTTTAGCTACGACGAAATGCGAAGTCGCAAAACTAGAACACAAGGAGATCAATATTAAAATTCAAATGGCCATAACACTGGAAACAACACCATCTCGCGACAGTCTTATCAACACAATTATGTCTGTTGTAAGAGTGGATGTAATGTTATTTTCAGCACCTATGCACCGAAACCAGTACTTCTGTTTACTACTCAATAATTGGAAAAGTACTTTGCGCAATGCGTCCCTCAAAGAACCCCGACAAATAAAACAGCTAGTAAAAAAGTTGGAGCCAATATGAATCTGCATGGCTACATCGCAAATAACAAAAGACTTACAAGATCCCATAAGTTTTCAATAATTCCCAGTAAATATATTGAAAGCAGCTCGTAACTAAGTGCCTTCGGCATACAATCTCAAAACACCGGGCTTGGCTCCGTCAAACCATTTCACTTTATACTCCATAGACTCCCTTTCCGAACTAGTTACCTAACAAACAGTCCACTTTTTTTCTGTCGAGCTAAAATATGAAGCAAGTTTCCTCCAAAATCCTCAGTTTTGGAAATGTATTGAAGTACTCTGTTATTTAATGACTGCTCTAAGACTGTGTACTGAAATCAAATGCTAGGATCCTCAACGCGACTGACGAGTTGAAACAATTGATCGGAGGTCTTAAGCAGATAAAACCAATGGGTTGATATAACGACAGTTTTTTTTTTAATTCAGGCATTCTAAACATGTTCTAATGCTCGAATTTTGTAACCAGTGTTCATTATCCACCCACAACGTCATCTGAATTGTTGGGCAGTTTTGAATTTGGCGCCAGTGAACGCCCCAGCTACCAACAGTTTTTGACTCCCATATTTGGAACCAGAGTACCGATACAACAACGGCCTTTGGCATATCTCTCCATTACATGTGTCGTTCCTTGGACAAACGAATACGGGATCTGATTATGTAGAAAGTTTAATTTTTCCGTGCGCCTCTCAGGGTCCTTTTCCATGCCACAAGCGTAACATGGCGCACTGAGGATTTTCAGCCTTTCGAAATTCCACCATTCCACGCCGGTTTTAAAAAGCTGTCTGACCCCATACAAATACGGTTGGAGGGAATTCCCGACACTTTGCCTAAGTTATTAATACTTTGTAACAAAGAAAAATTATTCATATGTTTTCAATTTCTGGACTTAAAATGAAGATGAAGTCACATACAGTTCAGGCGCGTATGCAAGGAGGGCTCACGGAACACGTGATCAATATGAACTATATGTTAAAAGAAAAAAAAATACGTTTTATATTCAGCATAAATGAAAAACTCTTTTATCAGAAACCATCAAGTCAGCTGGACCCTACACATATAGACCCCCTGAGAAAACTCCTGGGTGTGCCTCTGGTCACACATTTGTTACATTGACAAGACGAATGAACGAGTTTTCATAACACGAACGAAACTAAAGAACTAATCCAAACAATTCCGAATTGTTCAGTGAGAGCTTCTTGTTATTTTACATAACCCACTCGAGCGAAACTGACATTAATACCAATTAACAATCTCAAGTATTTAGTTTAGATACATATTACGATACGAAGCAAAATACAAAACGAAATAAAAGTGTAACTTTGTAACATAATAAATAAAATTTACAAACTTGTTATCTCATAAGATTACGTTTTATCGAAATACTTGTATTTGAAGTATTCAAATGTGAATAAACTCGTTAGAGATGAATCGCAGAACCGTGGAGTGCTTACGTCGATATGCATAATGGAATTGTATTCATAAATCAGTATTCTGCCAATTAAAGCTTATTAATTATTTGCATTGTTAGTTCCCTTTCTAGTAGTCCAGTCACCTAGTATTCTACAGGGCCCGATCAAGGAAAGAATTCCGTGTTTTTTTCGTGTCATTTGTGATCGAAAGTTAAAATTTTTATAAGAACAATGGTGCATTTAAGGGGGTAGCTCATTGGATTTCCAACCCCCCTTCTATAAGCCAATGATACATATTGGGAAAAAATAGCCTTTACTTATTTTCTATACTAACGAAAAACATGTAATATATCAGTTGTTTACCGTACAAATATTATCTATAAGTCAGAAAATAAAAATTAATTCAGCATAATTGAACTCTTTATAAGAAAATAGAAAGTCGGCTGGACAGTATACCCGTAGCTCCCGAGAAAAATTCTGGGTGCACCTCTGTATGAAAATCTTTAATAGGGAAAGAAAGTAACTGGCGGATGGTCAGCTGAGTAGCGGCGTGTTGCCTCGTATTGGGAAATTGTCGCACACATGAAACGTCATTCAACGAAAGATGGGTTCTTAAAGTATCCGTATCCATCTCTGAGTAAACAACGAAAAGCAGTCATAAACCTAAATACAGTGGAAACATTAGTTCTAAATATGTACAATCGTGAAGGCCAGAGACAAGAAAATACACTCGTTGCACCTTTATTTTGTAAACTCACTAACTACTGCTAATGCTTCATTCCTTTATCGACAACACAGGTGTACGTGGAAGTTGAAACAAAAGTTATAATCCTTCAAACGTGGTTTTGTTTATTGCACTTTTTTTAGAAATTTTACTGCGGCATATTTTGTCTCTAGAAAAAGGAAGCACGTGCATTTACACTTTCACGAAACACACTTTCCATTCAGTGCATCAATCGGACCTTATAATAAGGACGTGAAGTAATAAATACATTTTGGTTTTCCGCTGAAGAGGTAATCAACAATTCCCAACACGACTATCGTAATGATAATGATGATGATGATAATGATGATAATAATAATAATAATAATAATAATAATAATAATAATAATAATAATCGGCTCACCGTCGGTGGTCCGCCTCGCTCCGAATGGGGTCCCCCGCGCCGCCACAACTGCCTTCGCCAACGCCACCGCCGGCCACTCTCCGCCATTACCACCATTACGCCTCATTTTACCAACAACTACAACGACAACCACAACGAATAAGCCAACGACAATCACAACGACCAATCACAACGACAAATCACAAACGGACCATCACACGACAATCACAACGACAATCACAACGACAATCACAACGACAATTCACAACGACACATCCAACGAACAATCACAACCGCAATCGCATCACAATGCGCATCACATCACATCACCAATCACATCACATCACAACAATCACAACCAATTCACAACCAAATCACAACCAAATTCCAATCCCCACCACTATCGCAACCTATCGCACACTTATCGCCACCACTATTCGCCACCACTTATCAGCACCACTATTCGCCACCCTATCGCCACCACTATCGCCACCACAACCGCATCCACAACCGCAACCACCAACCGCAGCCACAACGACAGCCACAACGACAGCCAACAACGACAAGCCACAACGACACCACAAAACGACAGCCACAACCGACAGCACAACGAAGCCACACGAACAGCCACAACGAACAGCCACAACGGACAGCCACAACGGACAGCCACAACGAGCACAACGTCAGCACAACCGACAGCCAAAACGACAGCCAAAACGACATCCACAACGACAGCCACAACGACAGCCACAACGACGCCACAAGACAGCACACAACGACAGCCACAACGAACAGCCACAACGACAGCCACAACGACAGGCCATCAAAGCACAGCCACAAACGACAGCCACAACGACAGCCACACCGACAGCCACACCGACAGCCACACGACAGCCACACGACAGCCACACCGACAGACCACACGCAGCCAACAACGAAGCCACAACGAACAGCCCACAACGACACCACAACGACAGCACAACGCGAAGGCCACAACGACAGCCACAACACAACCACAACGGAACAACCACAACGGACAACCACACGACAACACAACGACAACCACAACGACAATCACAATCACACTACAATCACATCACAGTCCACACCCCCCCCCCCCCCACGGCCGCCATTTCCCGCCCATACAGCCCCGCTGCTGCCACTGCCGTAATGCGCGTGGCATCGCTATCGCACCCGTTGCGACGAAAAAGCCGATCCATTGCCACGCAAACCGGGACCGGGCGAACGGCGAACAAGGAGATAAGCGGCGCTGAGTGCACAGCGCGGGAACGTAGAGCTGCGATGGTAATGGCTCTTCGACCGGTAGGCCATGGCTCAACCCCTTTCATCAGCGGGAAGTCGCCAGCGGCTCCTAATTCTCACCTGCAAGGAAACTGGTGAATGAGCGCGGGCAGAATTTCTATAGTGACAG